ACCCCAACACACCAAAACGCACCGCAACACACCAAAACGCACCCCAACACACCAAAACGCACCGCAACACACCAAAACGCACCCCAACACACCAAAACGCACCGCAACACACCACAACGCATCCCAACACACAAACGCATCCCAACACACCAAAACACACAACAATGCATCCCAACACACCAAAACGCACCAAAATGCACCCCAACACACCAAAATGCACCCCAACACACCAAAATGCACCCCAACACACCAAAATGCACCCCAACACACCAAAATGCACCAAAACGCACCGCAACACACAACAATGCACCCAACACACTAAAACGCACAAGTTTAAATAAAGGTGTTTGTCATCATCATCATCATCATCATCCTCTGTGTGCAGACATCAGCGTGGAGCATCCTGATGAGAAGTCTATCATCACCTACGTCGTCACCTACTACCACTACTTCTCCAAGATGAAGGCGCTGAAGGTGGAGGGGAAGAGGATCGGGAAGGTGAGCCGTGGAATCAGTTTGCTTCCACAGATTTCCTCCCAGCAGCACCAGAACCCGACCAGCTGACCTGCTTACTAAGCTGTGGTTCTGTTAGATCAGACCGAGCTACCGTGGAGGTTTGGTTCGATCCGTTTACAGCAGCTGTTCAGATAGGAGTTCAGTTTCTGGTCCAAAAACCCTGAAAGATGCTGAAAAACTGCAGTAAAACACAAAGAAAGAAGATCTGAGCAGCAAAGAGTCGATCTCTGCTGCCTGGAACCAGGACTGAGGATGAGGAGGATCACATCCAGCTCACTTATTCAGCTTCACATCTCAGAAATTTAACAACAACAACTTCTCTTAACTTTCTAAATAGATATTAACAGTTGTTGATTTTTTTTGTGACTAAAATGAAATAGAAAAAAAATAATATTTCCTGATTTTTTTTTAAAGCAGGAAATAGATTAGGAGTAAAAATAAAGATTAGAATAAGCAATAAAAGTGTTAATAATGATAAAGGAAATGTTTATGTAATGAAAGGTTTATCAGTTAAATAAACAAACTTCTCTCTGTTATCAGTTCTGTTTTTCCTGACGCTGTTTTTTTTCTCCCGCGCTTCGTCTGGCAGGTTCTGGATCACGCCCTGGAGACGGAGAAAATGATCGAGAAGTACGAGTCTCTGGCGTCGGACCTGCTGGAGTGGATCGAACAGACCATCATCATCCTCAACAACAGGAAGTTTGCCAACTCTCTGGTGGGCGTCCAGCAGCAGCTGCAGGCCTTCAACACGTACCGCACCGTGGAGAAACCACCAAAGTCAGCTTCTGCCGTTTCACGCTCCTCTTTCAATGGAACATCTAAGATGGAAAACATGTTTAACCTTCTGTTAATCCTCAGATTATGTCTGTAATGATCAGTCCCCTCCATCTTTGTGCGCCATCAGGTTTACAGAGAAGGGGAACCTGGAGGTTCTGCTCTTCACCATCCAGAGTAAGATGAGAGCCAACAACCAGAAGGTCTTCACCCCCAGAGAGGGAAAACTCATCTCTGACATCAACAAGGTAACTTCCCACTGGGAAAACAATCAAGAAATAAGTAAAAATCTCTTAAATTAAGTGTATTTACTCTTAATTTGAGCAGGTAGATGAGAGAATCTGCCGATGCAATGAGTATTTTACCCTTAAAATAAGATAATTAGATAATATGTACTTGAAATGAGACAATGCAAGTGTATTTACCTTCAATTTGAGTAGAATTTCTACCCTTAAAATAAGATAAATTGGATATTCACTTAAAATAAGAGACTGAAGTCTTTTTTCCAAATTTTAGTGTAAATTGTCCTGTTCCATTGGCAAAGTGTGCCATGAAACGAGGACAGATGGACCCAGTATTCAAGGAGAAACAGTCAGTAGGAAAGTTCAAAACGTTTATTAAATAACCAACCAAACTGAAGTGGAGCTGTGGCTCACCGACACTGCAGGAGGGGGGGTCGAGGCACCGCCCAATCTCAGACACTCTGGTTTAACAGTCCAGTCCAAGAATGTCCCAAAAGCTGCAGTTCCAGAGGTCTTGCAGGAAGCCGATCCTGGTCAGGGATTCAGAACAGACAGGAACAGGATCCAGACTTCCAGGCATCAAAAAGCTCCCAGGAGGGTTCAGAGTCTGACTGGGACCAGAAGCATGACCAGGTGGTCACGCACAGGAGCGGACAGGATCAGGTGCAGACAGGCAGGCTCAGTGGAAGAGGGTAGCAGAGACAGGACGTGGAACCAGAACTTGATGCAGGACTTTAAACTGGTCTCCTCCCTGGAGCCAGGCTTACTGGGATAAAAACTGAACCTCCCCCCCATAATGAGCCAAAAACCCAGAGGGCTCAGCGGGGGAGGAACAGTGGACGATCAGGAGACAAGACAAACACAAAAACCTCTTTCCACTGGCTGCTAGGATCCAGGAGATGAACCAAGGCAAAAACTGAACAGACAGACTAACAGAAAACAGATAATGATCTGGCCCTGAATGCTCAGGCTGAACATAATATATAAACCAGAGGAAACAGGTGAGAGGAATAAATTATAATTGAGGCAGGGAGGGAAAACGACAGGTGAAAGAAATTACCAATTAAGGAGGAGCAAAAAGGCCAGATCATGACAAATTGTCTCACTTCCTTCCATCCATTGTCAAAAACGCTTTATCCCAAGCAGAGTGGCGAGGGGTGCTGGTTCCTATCTCCAGCTGTCTAAGGGCGAGAGGCGGGGTCCACCATGGACAGGTCTCCAGTCCATCGCAGAAAGTGTCTCACTTACCTGCTCAATTCAAGAAGAAAACTTTACTTACTTAGATCTACAATTTTTGCAGTGTAGATTTCAATTTTTTGCTGTGCACACTAGAAAAAGGATCAAGAAATAAGTCAAACTTTCTTAAAGTAAGCGTATTTACAATTAGTTTGAGTCGGTAAATAAGTAAATAGAATTTGCCAATGGAAGTATTTTTACTCTTAAAAAAAAAGATATTTACATAATAAGCACTTGAAATGAGACAATGAAATTGTGTTTTCTTTTGTCTTGTTCCATTGGCAAAATGCCTCTCTTACCTCCTCAATCTAAGAACAAATGCACTTATTTTAAGAAAAAAATGACTTCTCTAGATTTAGATTTTTTCCAGTGCAGAGAAAACATCTGGAATGTTCTGATCAGCATCTTGTCGGCTCTTTGGGAAGAACTGTTTGTGTTTTTCAGCATAGTTTCTAACTAGATAAAATTATTTCAGACGTTCTGATGTAGTTTTTAAAGTTTAAATCACTAAGCTGAGGTATGGAGCTCCCTCTGAAGGTCCGCCTCAGTGATGATGACAGAGAGAAGCTGCTGCTCCTCCCACTGACTCTAACGCTCTGCGGTTCTCCCTCCTGGTCCGTTTTGGACCTCGGTGAATTCCGGAGGCGTCTCTGTAGGTTGTGATTTCCCGTCTGCTAGCAGCGTCTCCTCTCGCTCACTGCTCACCTCCTGGGTATGTTTGTTTTTAGGCGTGGGAGCGTCTGGAGAAGGCGGAGCACGAGCGGGAGCTGGCTCTGAGGACGGAGCTGATTCGTCAGGAGAAGCTGGAGCAGCTGGCCCGCCGCTTCGACCGTAAGGCGGCCATGAGGGAGACGTGGCTGAGTGAGAACCAGAGGCTGGTCTCTCAGGTAGAACACCTGGATGGGTTCTGTTCAGCAGCGCCTTTTAGTTCTAAACCAGAAGGTTTCAGTGATGAACTCCTGTTTTTCTCTTCCTTTCCCTTCGTTTCCTCTCCTTGTCTCCTTTCTTCTCCTGCTTCCTGTTATCTTTCCTCAGGATAATTTCGGATATGACCTCCAGGCCGTTGAAGCCGCCACAAAGAAACACGAAGCCATAGAAACGGACATCGCGGCGTACGAGGAGCGAGTTCAGGTCCGCCTCAGCTTCTCCTCATCCGCAGGTTAATCCTTCGGTCAGAACTTCATCAGCCGCCTCCTCTCTCCTCTGTCGATGCAGGCGGTGGTTGCCGTGGCGAAGGAGCTGGAGGCGGAGAGTTACCATGACATCAAGCGCATCACAGCCAGGAAGGACAACGTGATCCGTCTGTGGGAGTACCTGCTGGAGCTGCTGAGGGCCCGGCGCCACAGGCTGGAGCAGAACCTGGGCCTGCAGAGAGTCTTCCAGGAGATGCTCTACATCATGGACTGGATGGACGAGATGAAGGTAGCATCAGCGCCTCGCCTCACAGCTCAAAGGAGACATTTACAGCTTCAGTTGGTCTTTATTCCTAAACTCCTCTTATGAAGAAAATACATTAAACCGTCTAAATAAAAATAGTTTTAGAGATGCTCCTGTTGCAAAGCTTCTAAGAAATAATTAGAATTAATCCTAATTAAATGATCTGACATTCCTTTAATTTATATCCTGGTCAAAGTTTCTGTGTTTATCTTTATAAACTGGTCAAGGCTTAAAACTTGGTCTGCAGTTATTTACATTTCCTTAAATTGTATTTTATTTTCAGTCAGAATTACACCTTTTAGTAAAAAATTCAACATTTTAAAACCAAAATCTTATCTGGTATTTATCCTTTATATTCACACTGTTACGGACTAATTGGCTGATTGTTTATGTTTGCTTAGATTTCAGTAAAATAGAAACAATAATGATAAAAACACCAAAAATACACCTTAGTTAAGCTGTTTCTGCTTCCTGTATAATAAGGTTTTTTATTCCAGTCTGGATTTAAGTGTTAAAATTCATTTACTGACGTGTTTCTTTAATGAAGAACATTGATGAACGAAAAACTGCTGTTCCGCTGCTCAAACTTCATTCACTGGAAAAACGATCTAGAAATAAGTAAAAAGGATTTTATGCGTCTAATTTAGAATTAAGGCTTCAAAAACCAAAAGATGAGGAAATCAGTTCGAGTCACATCTACAATAAATTTGTGCTGGATGTGTCACTAAACTCCAAAAATGATCTAGAAATAAGTAAAGATTTTTCAAATGAAGTGTATTTACCTTTAATTTGAGTATAAAAATAAGATGATTTACAAATGGAATAAGATTTTTTACTCTTAGATATGATAATTAGATGATATGCACTTGAAATAAGACAATGGAATTGTTTTTTTCTTATTTTAAATGTAATTTGTTTTTTTCCATTGGCAAAATGTCTCATTTACTTCTTCAATTCAAGATATTATTTCAAGGAAAAAATGACTTATTTAGATTTAGATTTTTTTGCAGTGTGATATTCATGCACTGCAAAAACAATCTAGAAACTAGAAACAAGCAAAAATATCTTAAATTAAGTGTATTTACCCTTAATTTGAGTAGGTAAATGAGATGATTTGCCAATAGAATGAGCATTTTTACTCTTAAAATAAGATATTTGGACAAAATGCACTTGATATAAGACAATGCAATTGTGTTTTCTTATTTTAAATGTAAATTGTCTTATTCTATTGGCAAAATGTCTCATTTACCTCCTCAATTCAAGAACAAACGCATTTAATTTAAGAAAAAAACGACTTATCTAGATTTTGATTTGATTTTTTTCCAGTGTGCAGAACGTTCGTAAACAGATTTAACTAAAAGTCGAGACTAAATAAATATTTCTGGTTAATCAAAGAAGGTCATAGATGGAAAATTTGTAAACATGAAGCAGAAAAGATGGAAAAAGGCTGCAGGACGGATTTCATCCATTTCAACTAGAAAAACAATTCGCTGCTCAGTTTATTTGTAGAAATAACATTTTATCCCTCAGGAATAAAAAATTCAGCTCCTGAGAAATTTATCTCCAGTTTCTTCTGAATCCTGTTTTAAAACAAAAGAAAAACTGACTGCATAGTGTTGCCAGCAGGTGGCGCTGTAGGTTCACACATGAGCAGAAGTCCCTGAAAGCAGAGAAGGATAAGAGTTAAAAAACAATCCTGATGATGATGATGATGATCCAGTCAGATTGATTCAAAGTTTTCTATCTAAGGAAAACCAGCCAAACAGGAACAGACCAGATGAAGCTACTATGAAGAAAAAGCAGAGAGAGCAGAACGTTAGAGATTGAACTAACAGATTCTGCAGAGTGGGAGAATAGAGATAGAATGAAGCAGAATGATGAAAAAGGGGTCCCTATGTCCCCCAGCAGTCTAAGCCTATAGCAGCAGAACTATAGAGATAGAATGAAGCAGAATGATGAAAAAGGGGTCCCTATGTCCCCCAGCAGTCTAAGCCTATAGCAGCAGAACTATACAGATAGAATGAAGCAGAAACGGGTCCCTAATATTTAATGAACTAAAGTTGCATTTTAGTGCAAAATGTTTCATAATGATCCTGTTTTTAGCTGAATGTTGTTGAACCGTGACCTCCTGTCCCCGCGCCGACATTTGACCCCTCTGTCCGCCTGCAGATGCTGCTGCTCTCTCAGGATTACGGCAAACACCTGCTGGGTGTGGAGGACCTGCTGCAGAAACACGCTCTGGTGGAAGCCGACATCGCCATTCAGGCCGACCGAGTCCGAAACGTCAACAGTAACGCTCAGAAGTTTGCCACCGACACAGAAGGTACCACCGTACTGCTGAGCTTCTGCTTCCTGCCTCCTGTGCTCTTCCTCACCCCCCATCCTCCTCCTCCTCAGGTTATAAGCCCTGTGACCCGCAGGTCATCAGGGACCGCGTTGCCCACATGGAGTTCTGCTACCAGGAGCTGAGCCAGCTGGCAGCTGAACGCCGAGCTCGCCTCGAGGAATCCCGCCGACTCTGGAAGTTCTTCTGGGAGATGGCGGAAGAGGTTCTCCTCACTTCACCTCTGATCATTAATACACATGGAGGGTTTCCATGGCGATGGAACTGATGGAGTTTGTGCTCTGCAGGAGGGATGGATCAGGGAGAAGGAACAGATCCTGTCCTCTGAGGATTATGGGAAGGACCTGACAGGCACGGTGCGCCTGCTCAGTCAGCACAAAGCCTTTGAGGACGAGATGAGCGGGCGAGCCGCCCACCTGCAGCAGACCATCAAACAGGGCAAGGACCTGGTGGCCGACAACCACTTCGGGGCCGAGAAGATCAAGGAGCGGATCCGGGACATCGAGGTAGCCGACCTGCTGCTGAGGAAACACACAGGAAACGCTTTTATTTTGAAAGAGCCAACCTAACAGCTTCTTTCCTCCCTTTGCAGGAGCAGTGGGCAGCTCTGGAGCGTCTGTCTGCTGTGAGAAAAGCACGCCTGCAGGCGGCGTGCAACCACCACCAGTTCCAGGTGAGAACTCGCCACGATGACCTCATTCCAGACCCGAAACGTCGTCTCTGTCTGATCAAACCCAACCGTCTCCCTGCAGGCTGATGCAGATGACATTGACACATGGATGCTGGACGTTCTGCGCATCGTCTCCAGCGTGGACGTCGGCCACGACGAGTTCTCCGCTCAGGCTCTGGTGAAGAAACACAAAGACGTCGCAGAGGAGATCAGCAGCTATCGGCCCGCCATCGACGCTCTGCATGAGCAGGCCCAGACGCTGCCGCCGGAGAGGGCCAACTCCGAGGAGGTACACCTGCAGCTCCTTCATATCCCACTCAGATTCAAGCTGGTTCCTGACGGCCATCTCCACCTCTGTAGGTCCAGAACCGGCTGGCGGGCATTGAAGAGCGCTACAAGGAGGTGGCAGAACTGACCCGGCTCAGGAAGCAGGCCCTGCAGGATGCCCTGGCGCTCTACAAGCTGCTGAGTGAAGCCAGCGCCTGCGAGCTTTGGATCGACGAGAAGGAGCAATGGCTCAACAGCATGGAGATCCCAGAGAAACTGGAGGACCTGGAGGTCATCCAGCACCGGTGAGAACTTCACCGGACTTGGATCTTCCATTAATGTTCTTAATCAGGACTCCACAAAGTCGGTCCTGGAGTGCCGCTGTCCTCACTGGAAAAACGATCTAGAAAAAAATGAATGAATAAGTGTATTTACCCTTAATTTGAGAAGGTAAATGAGATAGTTTGCCAGTGGATTTTGTTTTTCTACTCTTAAAAGTAGATAATTAGATAAAATGCACTTGAAATAAGATAAAGCAATTGTTTTTTTCCTTTTTAAAGTGTAAATTCTCTTGTTTCTTGTTCCAAATGTCTCTTTTATCTCCTCAATCCAAGAACAACTGCACTTATTTTAAGAAAAAAATGACTAGATTTTTCCAGTGCTGCAGGGTTTAGAGGTTTAGAGAAGCTGATTATCAGGCTTTTGCTTGACTGCAGTCATCGTAATCAGCTGTGCTAAAGCAGGGAAACCTCTAAAACCTGCAGGACAGCGGCCCTTCAGGGCCAACTTTGGGGACGCCTGGTCTAGATGTTTGCAGACAATGCACAGAAATATCCATCAACATGAATGTCTTCATTCTTCATCGTTTCCCTTTTCATATCCGTCTAGGTTTGAGAATCTGGAGCCGGAGATGAACAGCCAGGCCTCCCGGGTCGCCGTGGTGAACCAGGTAGCCAGGCAGCTGATCCACAGCGGACATCCCAGTGAGAGGGAGATCAAGACCCAGCAGGACAAACTCAACACCAGGTAATCAGACTGGGTTAAAACCAGTTCAGAGTCCTGGATCGGAACCAACGATGACGATGGCGTTTGTCTGTCCAGGTGGAGTCAGTTCAGAGACCTGGTGGACCAGAAGAAGGAGATCCTGAACTCAACTCTGGGAGTCCAAAACTACCACCTGGAGTGTAATGAGACCAAGTCCTGGATCAAAGAGAAGACCAAGGTACTGCACCCATCCGCTCCACCTCTGCTGCCGTCGGTTTGACTCCTAAAGACCCTCAGGACATCCAAAACTCTCTTCCAGGTGATTGAGTCCACGCAGGAGCTGGGCAACGATCTGGGCGGAGTCATGGCTCTGCAGAGGAAGCTAACAGGGATGGAGCGGGACCTGGTTGCCATCGAGGACAAACTGAAAGACTTGGAGAAAGAGGCGGAGGGTTTGTCTTCCGAACACCCGGAGCAGTACGCAGCGATCAAAGGACAGCTGGCTGAGATCACCAGCGTCTGGAATGAGATGAAGGTTAGAGAATGACTGCTTGTTTGATGACGTCGTCTTTTCCTTCCTCGCATTAATCACTATAGCGACCATCCATTTCTTCTCCTCTGTTCCTAGGGGACGTTGAAAAACCGTGAGGAGTCTCTGGGCGAGGCCAGCAAGCTGCAGCAGTTCCTGCGAGACTTGGACGACTTCCAGTCATGGTTGTCCCGGACGCAGACGGCCATCGCCTCGGAGGACATGCCGAACACTCTGGCTGAGGCCGAGAAGCTGCTCTCCCAGCACGAAAACATCAAGAACGAGATCCGCAACTACGAGGAGGACTACCAGAAGATGCGGGACATGGGCGAGATGGTGACGCAAGGCCAGACGGACGCTCAGTACATGTTCCTCAGGCAGCGTCTTCAGGCGCTGGACACCGGTTGGAACGAGCTGCACAAGATGTGGGAGAACCGACAGAACCTGCTGTCCCAGTCCAACGCCTACCAGCTGTTCCTGAGGGACACCAAGCAGGCCGAGGCCTTCCTCAACAACCAGGTAACGCCTGCTGAAACCGTACCGCCAGAAAGGTAACGCCTGCTGAAACCGTACCGCCAGAAACGTAACGCCTGCTGAAACCGTACCGCCAGAAACGTAACGCCTGCTGAAACCGTACCGCCAGAAACGTAACGCCTGCTGAAACCGTACCGCCAGAAAGGCCTTGGGTTCGGCACAGAGGCTCTGGTTCTTCCCTCTGATCTAATTCTCATAGCATTTTCTGGGGTTGCTGCTAAAAATAAATCAGTTGATGTTGTTTAATCAGCCTCATGGTAAGAAGGTCTGATGCTGCCCCCTGCTGGCAAATAAGTTTTATTTCAGTAATATATTTATCTCACTGATCTCTATTTATTCCCTGGATTGCTGATTACCCTTTGGCAGTACAGAGTTGAAGTTAAGCCACCAGCCGCCATATTGGTACTCCCTTTTTGGACCGGTCGCAGTGTAATCACTCCATGTGCTACAGAATCTGACAACGACAATCTCGTTTTAATGGGGACTTAAGACTTTTAAAATAAAGATAAATTCATCACTTTGACACAGACTGGCTGTTTCATAGCATCAGTAGATTAACTTTAACTTAGAATAAATAAATAGTCCCATCATGTTGCATCATTATGAAGTCAATTAAGTCTATAAATCATGTAATATAACATATTATAAAATCCATAACTATAAAATTAATGTATTAATGGAGCAGAATAATACAGATGAGCCAAATGTGCTAAATTGATGATGTAACTGTAATATACATCTATTGATGACATTGCTATGGTAATTACATTTTACATATAATTTCAAGATTTTACATAAAGACTGAATTACAAATACACGTCTGTTAATGCTATAATATTTTCCTATTTGCAAATTATGCATAAATGATTCTATATACACTACCGTTCAAAAGTTTGGGGTCACATTGAAATATCCTTATTTTTTGAAGGAAAAGCACTGTACCTTTCAATGAAGATAACTTAAACTAGTCTTAACTTTAAAGAAATACACTCTATACATTGCTAATGTGGTAAATGACTATTCTAGCTGCAAATGTCTGGTTTTTGGTGCAATATCTACATAGGTGTATAGAGGCCCATTTCCAGCAACTATCACTCCAGTGTTCTAATGGTACAATGTGTTTGCTCATTGGCTCAGAAGGCTAATTGATGATTAGAAAACCCTTGTGCAATCATGTTCACACATCTGAAAACAGTTTAGCTCATTACAGAAGCTAAAAACTGACCTTCCTTTGAGCAGATTGAGTTTCTGGAGCATCACATTTGTGGGGTCAATTAAACGCTCAAAATGGCCAGAAAAAGAGAACTTTCATCTGAAACTCCACAGTCTATTCTTGTTCTTAGAAAGGAAGGCTATTCCATGCGAGAAATTGCTAAGAAATTGAAGATTTTGAAGAACGGTGTGTACTACTCCCTTCAGAGGACAGCACAAACAGGCTCTAACCAGAGTAGAAAAAGAAGTGGGAGGCCGCGTTGCACAACTGAGCAAGAAGATAAGTACATTAGAGTCTCTAGTTTGGAAACAGACGCCTCACAGGTCAGCAACTGGCATCTTTATTAAATAGTACTCACAGTATTCAGTTTGTGCTGCCCCTTTGAAGGGAGTAGTATAATGTTTGAGTTGCTTTTTTTCCATCAATCATAACATCATAACATGCAAAATATTTCAGCTCATGACTTTTAAAATAAGAAATAATGCAAACACCACAAAAACGAGAGCATCATCCACTTAATATAGAATTACTACATTGACCTTTCATAGTGAATTACTTTCTATTTTGTAACGTTAGACCCAATGTCAATAGCTAACTCAGTCAATGTCTTCCAGTCAGTCTGAGATAGCCAGACTATTGTTATGCTACATACTGTATATACATACTATACTATAGTATATATATTATACATATTATACTATAGTATACAGTATATGGATTGGCATATATATGGATTTATTGGTTAGTTCATCCACTGACTCTAAATTACCTTTCAGGTCTAAGCACCTAAAACATCATACATACATACAGGGAAAGAAAGAAGGCACAGAGACAATTAATTTAGTTACTCGTGAGGAGAGCAGGAAGAGACTGCAGAGTTTACAAATCACCAACCCACTCTGCCGGTCTTCAGCTTTCTCCTTGCTATTTATTAAAGTCAGGGGATGTCCCTAATTACACAAGCTGAGGTTTAACTAAGGGGAAGGGAAACACAATGATCTTACTTTAAACCTCAGCACATAGGTTAAAACAAAGCATGTGGTTGTTTTACAATTGAATTGTTCCAAGAACACATGGTTGGAAGAAACATGTGATAGAGGATGTTCAGGCCTCTTTCACAACATGACCTTTATCTGGAACGATCTTTAGCAAGAGTTAATAATCGATAAATCACACATTATACATCATAACAGTTCATTAGCACACAACCCATGAAACACAAACGGAGTATAAATAAATATTTCTAACATTACCTGTGGAACATCTTCCTACAGCCGGCAAACACCTTGTTTTTGCAGCCAAATGCTGCACAGGTAGAGATATTTAGTGCGCAACTCCTTGGGAGTTGGGAGTACCAACATGGCGGACGGTGGCTTCAGTTTTTTGAGGAATCCAGTGAATAAATAGAGATCAGTGGTTTATCCGGACAAAAAAAGAGAAAATAAATGCTGCGGATAATCCTGTCCAACTGATTTTGATTGAGTTTTTGGTTGATTTGATAGATGCAGAAGGTGTTAAGCGAGTTACTAAAACCCGCGTATAAAAGTGACGCTGAAGTTCAACATGAGGCCAATGAGCTGAACCTCTCTGAACACTGGGTGACACTTGGCTGTCTGGTTTTCAGGAATATGTTCTGGCTCACACCGAGATGCCCACCACCCTGGAGGGGGCCGAGGCCGCCATCAAGAAGCAGGAGGACTTCATGACCACCATGGATGCCAGTGAGGAAAAGATCAGCGGTGTTGTTGACACAGGACGCCGCCTGGTTACCGACGGCAACATCAATGCCGAGCGTATACAGGAGAAGGTGGACTCCATCGATCAGAGGTGACCGAGGTTCTTCTTGATAAAACATCTTCTTTGGTCTTTTGAGGTGTTTGTCACCAAGGTTGAACTGGTCTGTAAAAAGTTCTAGAAGAGACGTAGTTGATGTCAACACTTTGGTGTTCCTGTTTTGTTTTTCAGACACAAGAAAAACCGACAGGCAGCAAAAGATCTGCTGATGAAGCTGAAGGACAACAGAGACCTGCAGAAGTTCCTGCAGGACTGCCAAGAGGTGAAGCCCTCGTGTTTACAGCTCAAAGCCGTGCATGTGACGGTAAAGATGTCCCGGTCGGTCGTTTACCATCTGCTTGTCCCCAGCTGTCCCTGTGGATCAACGAGAAAATGCTGACCGCCCAGGACCTGACGTACGACGAGGCCAGGAACCTCCACAGCAAGTGGCTGAAACATCAAGCCTTCATGGCAGAGCTGCAGTCCAACAAGGAGTGGCTGGATAAGATTGAAAAGGTCCGGAAAGTTTATACAGAAGCTTTATCTCTACAGGAAGTAAAAGCTTCCCAGTTTTACACATTTGAATTAAAACTTTTCTAAATGGAGTTAACATTTGATGATATAGTCTTTATGATGCTAGCTTAGTTTAGCATGAAGTCTTCGTCTTTTAAGGTCCTGCTGAGACATTAGTCCTTTAATCCTGGAGATGTTCTTCGGGTGACAGAAGGACGACTTTGTTCCTGTCTGAGTCCATCACTACACCCAGATGTAGAGCCCAGGTTTATAGATGAATTAGATTCAGTTCTATTCAGTTTATTTCTATAGCGCCAATTCACAACACCTGTCATCTCAAGGCTCTTTACTATTTAACTAGATCATAGCGTCAAACCTTTGATTCAAAGTTTTCAATTTAAGGAAAACCAGTTGATTACATCGACTCATTGACTCTTCAGCAATCCCTCACACTAAGCATGCTTGTAGCGACAGTGGAGAGGAAAAACTCCCTTTGAACAGGAAGAAACC